TACCTTCATTGACTACAACACTATAATTGATGACATTTCCACTTTTAGGAAGTCCCCGAAAAAGCTGGCGAAACGGCAGGGGAGCAGTTGCAAGCGTTTTCAGACGATGAATGGGAAACGGGTGGAGCTGCTCTATCGACGCGGCTTCTTAATATCAAAAAAGATGAGGTAGCGTTATCGTGGTAGATGCCGCACTTTCAGTTTCAAAACGTCTGAAAGAGCAAAATGATTCATTTCTAGAAACGTGTCACGGTATTTGCTGCGAAGAGGTCAGGACGAAGAAGGAGGACGAGCCGAAGTTTCGAGTCAGTTGATCCAAAAGGTATGAACGTTCTGAGCGGTAATCGTCGTACGCTCACCCCCCCCCTCCCTCTCCTGACACGCCCCATCAGTGCAGTAAACACCACTGCACAAGGATCGATGAACCAGGTGGACGGGTACGCCTTGATATATACTCGAGATCCCTGAGATCGGGTAGGCGTGGCCGCATGTTTCAACTTAACCTGAAGGTGTCTATGCTTCTGGTGAGATATTTTCATCTTGACACAATTGTTGTCGTGTCTCTGTCCAACACAGAACAAGATGACAGTTGTCCCAGACTGGAATATTCCACGAGTAACCAATTCCGTGCCATGTTCAAATGCCACGCCTACTCTGGCTCAGGGATAAGGAGTGTATGTATGTCACTCCATCCAATACGTTTGCGCTCTCGTTATATGTGTCGCTCTTCTTCGTGCCTCGTCCAGCAAAGTAATGAGCGAATTGAGATCGACACTCGTGAAGGTTCCAAGGTGCAGCAGGTGTTGTTTTAAAGTGGAAGTTGAGAGGCCTCGAATGTGTCAACAGAACCCACTTCTGATGAGAGCACGAAGGCGAGCAGAGCTTAAGACGATGCTGCATGGGGTCTGGAGTGGCAGAGATGTAAATCAGTAACACCCAAGTGGAGGCTAGTGTCATCTTCGTCGTCAAGTACATCAGAGACATTTGAGCAGCTAGCGGTCTACTCTAGTGCACCCAACAACTTCTACAAGTTTTCGAACCGAACAATCACCTTTTCAGAGCTGCACTCTAAAATTGAAATGATTGGTCTATTCATCAGTGATGTTGCGAAGATGCTGATGAACGATAAAACCGGCAAGGAAGGCGTTGAGGTTTAGTTAACGTTAAGACGGTCCCACGTGGCATTGTTAGGAAGCGTGGTATGAGCCCGGCTCTGTTTTACCACTAGTGATGTGCAGAAAAACCAGGGGTGAACTACGTTGCGGGTGGGCTCATTCCACGCCTTCTGACACCGCCATCCGGGCTGCATCGATATCAAGTGTATGCATTCTCTAGTTTGCTGCGGACGGTTGCGGGCGATCCGCATTATGCGAACTAGAGAATACATTATTGTGTCAGCAGTATGAGAATTCACACGTCAATGCCTTCTTGCTCGCTTTAACAACTTGTGGAGAACGGGATTGGCACCGCGCCAAACTCTATCCGCCTGACACGCCTAACCGTCCGCAGCGAACTACACTTTAAGAGTACTCAACTAACTGTCAAATGGGGGGAACATCAATTTCCTACTGTTTCTATTTATATTGCTGAATTTTGGCGTGGTAGTGCTCAAAGAGCTGAAGAAAAAATACTGCACATCGAAGCGGGGGGGTGGGCGTGGTCGTGCTTTATTCGATTACCAGTCGGATCACCCGGCTGCCGCCGGGTGCTCCTCCTTCTTTATCACGGCCCGGCTTCGCCGGAGCCGGCCTGGCTTCGCCAGGCACTCTTTCTTTAGGCGAGGTAGAGTGTGCAAAATACGCCAAACCTGTCACAGTTCATTTTCCAGCAAAATGTAGAAAAATAGTTGAAAATAGCTCGAGCAATGGGTTAAAGTTGGATCAGCGAGTTGAAGTTGAAGTTGAACCGACGCTATGATATTCGTGTCAAAGAGACAGACGCACACGCATGGACATAGCCGATTTCATAAAATGGTACGGTGTCTATGTGTAACGTATGTCCCGAACTGTAGCGCGTGAAATCTATCCTTTTGGTCCACTCATAATCATAAATTTCATAAATCTCCACTCTTTTCTCGGACTTACCAAAAATCTCCCTAACCCTCACACGAAAATACAGCAACCTGTTAGAGCACTTCCTACCGCTTGATGCGTTCCCCACTACTGCAGGTTTCCTTTTCTGGAATGCACTCCCGCATTCGGGCAGTTTAACGCTTCGAATGGTCCTCTCTCAGATTGTTGATGAAAGATAGTCATAGTGATAAAGCCAGTTGCTGCAGTTCATGCCAACTGAGTAAACAACCGCCATGCTTCTGAACTCCATTTGCTTTAGCGGCCGTACATGATGTCAATAATGATAAAGCCCAGGAGTGAGTTGTGTGCGATTTACTGGGAGCCTGATACCTGGATCATATCAATCGCATAGTGGATGTAAGCGGTGTTGCGGATTTCCGCATGATGAGGTTTTCATTTCTTATCAGTCACTTCGTCTCACCCGTCAGTGGGTGTCCGCCCCTCCCCCTATACCACTTCTTGGAGCCAAGGTCCCAGACCCTGCAACCCCTACGAATTTGGTGGCCCTCCGCATTTGAGGTTCCCTTATCAAATCTTATCATATGTTATTAGATTCTGTCACCCACCCCGACCCTCCTTATACCATCTCGGAACCACGGTCTCAATTCACTGCAGCCGATGTTAGGAATTGGGTGAACCTCCGCGTCTAAGGTCCCCTTATCAAATCTTATCAGGTGTTATCAGCTTCTGTCACACCAATCATGTCCACCCCCTTTCCCCTACACCACTTCTCGAAATCAATGTCCCACGGTTGCTGCAACCTGCGCTAAGAATTTGGTGACACCCGCGTCTAGGGTCCCTTATCGGATCTTATCAGATGTTATCAGCTCCTGTCAGCCCCCCATCTACGGCATATCACTGCTTGAAACCAAGGTCCCGCAGCTGCTGCAACTTGCCACGAATTCGGTCACCCTCCCCTTCTAAGGCCCCTTATCGAATCTTATCAGGTGTTGTCACCTCCTGTCACCCACCAAAAGTGTTCCCGTCCTGCCGTGTATATCACCTCTTGAAATCAAGGTCCCACGGTCGCTGCAACCTGCGCTACTAATCTGGTGATCCTCGGCGTCTAAGGCCCCTTATCAAATCATATCAGGTGTTATCACCTCCTGTCACCCACCAAAAGTGTTCCCGTCCTGCCGTGTATATCACTTCTTGAAATCACGGTCCCGCAGCTGCTGCAACTTGCGCTACGATTTCGGTCACCCTCCCCTTTTAAGGCCCCTTATCGAATCTTATCAAGTGTTATCACCTCCTGTCACCCACCAAAAGTGTTCCTGTCCCAACCCTATATCATATCATGGAATTAACTTCCTAACGCTACTGGGACAGGTGTTATGAATTTCGTGACACACACACACACACACACACACACACACACACACACACACACACACACATAGCGGATTATATATAGTAGGATGGCGTTCATAATCATGAACGCCATAATCGAATAAATCACGAGCGGAATCAGGAGGGTTGTTCATGGGGCATTTCGGTTTTATAAAAGTGCTGGCCTATCCTGTACTGGACAAAGTCATAATTTCAACTGTTCTGAAACTGCAATATCCCTCCAGGAAGGCGTGCTGGATGGATATGCTGCTTCAGAACTGTTCAATAAAGAAAGTGATCACAGGAGGGTTGAGCTACGGGAAAGTGAGCCGGGAAACTCACTGCTAAATCTCAATGGCAGTATTTGAGAACTCGATAACTACAGCATCTGCAACCTTCTAGACTATTATTATCTTTTTTCCCCAGAATTTTTTGTTTCAAATTGACAACTTCTGGGATATTGAATGTCGGCGCCATTATCACGATGCCTCTTAAGGTCGAATAATGCTGTAACCAAATGCATATTTTATTCCAAAGCCAGAATGCATTACTGGAATTTGTGAAATAGCGGTGGCATCACCACTCCCTGAAAGAGGGTGACGATGATACGACCTCATTCCACAACTAACGCCATGACTTCCAACGCATTGGTTTCTCACACACAAACATGAAGCCGAGCGTGGGGAATCTAGAGCACATCTGAAAAGTGAAAGCTGAAGAACAAAATCCCAGCAGGTTGCACGACTCCCTTTCCTGTGGAGCCACATTCGATTCCCCTGATATGTTTCGCGTAAGGATGATGTAAGCTGTCTCAAATGTAAAAAAAGTTGGTGCTCATGTGGCTTTGTTGGCTTTTTGCCCCAAATTTGTTGAAAGTCCATGATATAGCTTAAAGCTGACTATAGTGAAAAGTATTCCTAGTAGGGGCACAGGTGAGATACATTCAGAAGGCGGCCTTTATCATGTGCATGGCGAGAGCCTCTCAGATAGGCTCCCGCCTACCGAACAACTCTTTTAGCGCATCTGGTTGACTAGTTGGCAATAAGTGTACTCTGGAGGACAAACGCTTATATCGGGTGGTACCCGCAAGCGGGCTAACACAATGTCTGTGCGATTTTGAATGGAAGTAAGATACGTGGCGCATTCCAAAAGTGGTTGACTGACGCCATGGTCGATGACTGAGAGCATCTTATTTTCTGGTCTTTACTTTAGGTTCAAGTTTCGTTGCAATTCAACACGGAACAAAGCATATCGATGTGAAAATCAACTGATAAGAGATTTTTTGAATTCAACGTCAACTATCCTTATCTTACTGTTTATGTCTGCATTGTAATTAAATCGGTGATTGAATCTGTTAAAGCATCTGAGAAATCGATTCAGTCTTGCATTCATGCACCAAAAAAATCATCAAAAATCAAATAAAAATAATAGAAAAGGCAGGCTTTAGAGCATGTGGAAAGAATTCGCTTCATCGCAGTTCAGACAGCTGTGATTAAACATACACACGAAAATTTCGAAAACTCGTTAGAAATTGGGCGCATACGATGTAACCCAGAGATTTAGATGAGGTTTTGAGAAAAACCCGAAACTAGGTCTGGCTTCTAGCACTGTGCATTATTTCAAATTACAATTTACGCTGGGCTTCAATCTTTTGGAAGGGGCACCGACGAGACTATGTATACAGCTCCTTTTTTGTCTGTCACACATTCTTTGAATCTAAACCTGCTGGAGAAGATGATCGCTGTTTCGCTCAGAAGTCGAAGAGGTATAGGCGTGGTATCTTCCCTCTCCCCAACTCTCTCGACCACAATTTTTGGCACTATATGTGCCAGCATTTATTTGCAGTAGCTGATGTCTGGCGCAGAACTTCCTCACACCAGTGGCGAAACAGAGGTGGATGAGTCGTAAGGTCGGTGTCTGTGGTTGCTGGGTTTACGGTTAAAGGCAGTTGGCACGATGGTTTCCTACTTCGCCTAAAATGCTAGTAGGGAGCTATATAGTGGGGAAATGGCGAAAGAACGGAGTGAAACGGTCAAAATCCGGCGAAGAAAAAGCCTCCGTTCTCAGTGACTTGTAAATCGATTTCGGACGAGTTTCCCGTACGCATCTTGCCAATCACCGCTACCGAAGATACGGCTGCATATTTGTACCCATATATGCATGCAGCATCACCGCCGCTTCATACCAATCCCTTTGCTTCATAATTTGCTCAGCAAATGAATGAATACGAGCGTCAGAAACGGTCGTCCGTTTGTGGGCGGGCGGGCAAGGAAGGCGTTTGGGACGTAAAGTTGTTGCTCAATAGGGCGTTATAGAGGTACCCTCCTTGGAAAAGGCTTCACGCAGCGCCTGTCCGAGGTCACGGAATTCTGTTAAGCCAGTTGTACAAATCCTACACCTGTATAGCGATTTATCGTGCCAACTGCCTTTAAAGAAAGGCTGCACACCCACCTATTTGGTCAGTCTCTCCACGTGTAGTGCGAGTGGGTCGGCAGATCCAGCAATGTAACTTTTTCGCTTATCAAAACTGCAATTCAGTTTTCAAATATAACTCCGTTTTCGACCCCTCTAAGCGTGGTTTTCCTTCAACTATATGGCATATTTCATGGTTCGAAATTTTGTTCACTGGCAAATCGCCAGCAACAACAAATTCATATTTGACCACTTTTGAATGTGTCCCAAAAGCCCAACAAATGCTCTGCATAAACTGGTTTCACAGTGTTCATAATGAGTTCAGTAGCTTCATCAAAAATGAAAATGCAAAGTCGGCGATCACAGTATCTCCACTTAAAGAAGTTGCAACGAATGAACGTGTACATCTCCTGCAATTTCAACAGCGATAACATGGGAGCCCGGTAGACGCTCAACAAACTCGTAATACATGGCTCCGTTGAGTAGCACCTGTAAGCAGAACAACCTTGTTGTTTCGGGTCAAGTTCTTCTCGTCTTTTTTTACCTGAATTCGGCCATGGTTTGCTACGAATTCGAGGGTGTAGACTCGTCCATGACGGAAAGGCATGGTCGTTCTTTCTTCGTGCATCCAGTTGCCAGAACGAGTTGTGTTGAACACAACTGTATTCTCCTTAAAGACACATGGTACGCTCAAACACATTGAGGGTGTATGAGACTATCAGCCCCCCAGCTGTCGATGTGTCGTGGTCCCCCCGCCCAAACATGCCCAGGAATGGAGATACAGGACCGTGAAACACGCTAATTCCTCCATGCTCCGCCTTACACCTTTTTGCGGCGCAGATTCCCGTCCTTCATAACATCCGTTGCAAGCGCGCGTGTCGCGTGCGGCTCCTTGGCACTTTGCCAAGTCCTTTAATTGCGCTCTCAATATAAAAACGCAATTTCCTGATGCGGATAACATTGGAGGTGCTACAAAATAA